CCCCCTCCCCTTTCAACAAGTTGTGTGTGAGACTTCAGCACAGCAGCAGCAGCAAGCAGGCGCACAGACGGCCCTCGCGCTCACTTTTTACGTACATGTGTGTGATAGAATTTAGTCTATATCATGTCCAGCAGGTTTAGGGAAGTCGTTTATGGGGTCACACTCTTACCCCACACACACACACACACACTTACACAACGCACTGGCAAGGTACTCTTTGTTTGTATGTAGACGTCATATGTTAATGAACCTATGCATATTCATGTAACAGCAATAAAAGATCAGTGTTACGGGGGAGCAGACGAGAGCGACTGGGGTCAAGCGAAGGAACGGCGTTTGTCCAGTTGGTCTCCTTCGTATGCGGAAATCATAAAGACCTCTGCTTGGTGTTCAATGCTTTTTGCTGTGTAAATGAATTGTCTTGAACGTTCCAGCGAATAGGTTTAAGCTACAAACCAAATCACTGTCAACATTAACTTGTTAACGCTGTCATCACGATTAACGCATTCAACCCATCTGGAGCGCTGACAGCCCTAGTTTGTTTTTGTGTTTGTTGGTTTGTTTTTATTTTGCTTTATTTTGCGAGCTGGTTATTAGATGCTGCTCCAGCCAGCCAGAAAATCCCCCACCGCCCCTCTCCTCCCTGTGCAGCAAGCAGCAGGTGCACCTCGTAAATGGAGGGTGCCTTTACTCCTTGCAAATGGGCAATAGAAAACCGATCGGTGCATATGCCATCCCCAAAATGCACTATCATGATATCGGGGCAGCATGGGTGCAAGCAACTTTTTTTTGCTGATGCCACGATAGCGCCATGGGCAACCGCCCATATCAAAACCGCCACTGGCTGTCCCCGTTCCCTGCGGCTCTTGCTTGACTCATGTTATCCTGGTTTTGCTCCCGTTCTCTCTGTAAATAAATTCTTGTACACAGTGCTCAGTGTCATGGCCCTGGGTCATGTGACCCAGTGTTTTGAATTTTCTTGTGTTTTGTGATTTTCTATAATGGTTTGAGTCCACCTTGTTAATCTATAGTTTATTCTATAGTACCTAAGTTGTTCTGTTTAGCTTTTGATTATTAGATCCCCCTTGTGTCTTTGCCTCCTGTATCTCCCTCTGTGTATCTGTGTTTATATAGTTATGTGAGTCCTTGTGCCTTGTTTCCCCTCCTTGTGTTTTATTCCATCATGTTTCCCCAGCCCGTCATGTCTGTGCTCTCCCTCGTGTTCCCTCGCTCCCTCTCGTCTGCCTCTCCTCCACCACCACCCCCAACCCCACCATCATGTTTTATTGTGAAGGTCTTGTGTCATGTTCATTACGTTCAGTCTAGCATCCCCTGTCTCGTTATGGTTATTCGTGTCAGCTGTGTTCCTCGGCCTTTGTCATCTTTCTGTGTATTTATATCAGCGTCTCCCTCATACCACTGTGTGTTCTGTTCACCAGCCTAGGTTATTTTGTACTCCTCAGTTTAGTTTAGGTTTTTCAGTGTCCAGCAATAAAGCTGTTTAAAGTTCACATCTGCCTTTTGGAGTCTGCGTTTGGGTCCTTTTCCTGCCTGCACACAGCCATGACACTCAGTGAGTGTACTGAGTCTGCTTTTGGGTCCAGCTCTCGTACGAACCTGGGTTGATAAAATTATTCTTGTTTTGATTCAGAATTATTTTAATGCAATAATAATGCAGTGTATTTTCAGTTAGTACCAGGAGTACACATTAAAAATAGGGATTATAAAGACAACCTGAAACATGAGGATTAAATGTTCCTGAGGCTGGATGTGTCGACATTTTTGCCAAAATTTAGATTACAACCACCCATCTTGCTTTAACACTGATGATTTCTCATTCAACTTGGGCTAAGTGTAGTGATCAAAAACACACAACAACCACCAAAGCCCTTGATACTACTATTACAAACTTCAAGCCCAGAATAAAAGAGACAAGGGGTCAATATCAGCCAGGATATGAGTGACATGATATGATATAAAGATGATATGATGATATAATAAAGAAAAGAACAAAAATAAGGTTTGCAATAAAAGTAAAACATCACAAAAAAGATCACTTACAATCAACAATGTACCTTTAACCTTCCTGTTGTGTTCGGTTCGATTTACAAATTAAAAAATTCGTAAATATTGTGTTTTACATCCGATTGACTCAAATCCTCATGACATCCTCCACACTATGCACTTGAACATATAAAAGTGATGAGCACCTCTTTCGTTGAATTTTGAGTGTTTTAATCAACTTTGTTACATCTGTGGTGTTCCCCCTGTCCC